TGCATAACGGTTGCGCAGGGATATAATTATTGCTGAAGATAGTCGACTACTTGCCATACACACGGAAATACATAGAGACACATTTGAATTAGAGTCAACAACATTAGCTCCTATAAGCCGATAATAGCGGAACACAACAATCGGCACTCTGTATTCCGGTAATTAAAATTTGTAAGCTATAACAGATCGACGAATCGATACAATTTCTCTTGGCTAGGTAGGATAACCGATGCATTTCTTTTGTTACCGAGCATTCCACGCGACGTATGGAAGCGGCTGCAATCTTACGTTAAGTTAGGGTCCGTGCACCGAGAGCGAGAGATTTCGGAGCAGTTTAGATAAACTCGGCAACAGTGACATGCGAACAATCCCCGAACATCCTCAAATAAAGGATTAACGAAGTGGAAAAAGGGTAAGATCAAACAATAGTAGACAGAAAAGTGAGGGGACTGCGGGGTAGCCGTGCTACTGCAGCAGTATGAGTTTTTGAACCGATGACGTTCACTTTATACATTATGGCGGCAGGGAGATTCACGACCGGTATATGCATGATACTACGAATAGTAGTAGCAATTAGCTACGCAGTGGGTATGCCGTGGTGGTCAAAAAGACTTCAAGCAAAGGCAGCGGGAGCGAGTAGTTTTTAGGGGAGAAGGGGTGTTTGTTGAGCAAAGGTAGAAACTACTACGTCTATTTTAACTTATATGGAAGAACCAAGAACGCTTGGCGTGACAAGCTAACGGTTGATGGTACCGAGCGCCAACGGGAGAACTTGGCTTAAGGGTTGCGCGCAAAAATGTCCTAATTTTGTACACAGAAGCAGTGTGCGTCACGGACATTCCAAATTGGACTCCGTAGTTAAGATGTTCGAGTCATAGTCAGAGCGAATGCTTACGTCTGGGGTATTGCCAAAGTAAATACCCGTTCACACCTTGAGTTGTTGCAAACTGTCTACTACCTACAAGCCCGCGAAACAAGCATTGCAGCTCACTACCTTTTTAAATACTTGGGGCGCCGCGCCTTATTTTGGTAAATTCCCTATGGCATTTTGGACTTTAATGTTTATGTTTTACACCTGTCATCGTTACCATTCTATGCTGAATGTTACATGAGACTAGCATAGCAAATGAAGCTATTCTCTACTTACTGTTTTCATAGAAAATCTGCATGGTTTGTTTGTATTTGTGACCATATAGCGAGAGAGTGTTTTGGTTAACACGAAAAGTGTCGTCTCTGAAGATGATGGAGGATGCGTGTTACCAAACTGCACTTTTCGGCAATTTTCAAACTTGTCTGATTTCTTCAGGAAAGGGTAACACGCTCTCGAACATGTAGCCTTTGGGATGTCAGCCGGAACTTCTACCCCCGAGCCACAAATTATAGTTTCACTTTTAATTACCCGTTGTGTGACTGAATTGAGGCCTACAATGTTATTAGGAACCGCGATATGCATTGTTTGAACTTCGGTCCGTTTAATCGATCCAATCTCTCGCTGCTGAGATCCACCATACTCGAAGCCGGCTATGAAGTGCGGTGTTCTCTGAGGGGCAATAACCAACTTCCAAACTCTTGTTTATGTATCTTCTCAGGATCTAAGTGACCAAGGTTCACTTCAATACGAATGACGGTCCACCTTGTGACTGCGTGTCGAACCCATCCCCACAAGGATTATTTCAAACTGACTTCATCAATGAAGTCCTTAAATTTTTCGACGGATATGAGAGGCGAATGCATGGAAAAGTGAATAGAAGGATAGCGAATTAAAAGACATGGGTTTTCAACCGTCGGGATGCCGCTCTGTTTCGATATTTCCTAGAATTGTGTTGACAACGTGAAAAACTAAGTTCGTTCATCGCGTTCTTTTAATTATAGATATCAAGATACGATGACTTGATATCGCAACATCTGTACAACTAACAAACAGTAAATTGTACGCCATGGTTGCTTTGTATTTTGCGAACGACAGTTTTATTCGCCTGCAACATATTGCTGACGTGACAACAATATTTGACTTCTTTCACGGTTCGTCCCACAGCTTTATTTCCAGACGCTAGATAAGCAATGCTGACCAGTAGCTGTCTAGCAGCTTCATCAGGCTTCGTTTTACTTGGAAACCTTTACTGATTAACCGTGTTTATTGTCTACCGATAAGTATTGTGTTTAGACATGCCTAATTAAGTAGTCCATATGTGTCATTTCAACATGAAATGCTTTGGCAACACCCCTACAAGCCGGCATTGGATCCCTCGGTCCTAACCAGAATTCGACAGCGCTGAACAACAAGAAACTAACAACCGACATCTGATAATTGAACACACGAATTTTCGCTTCAGGATGTGCAGTGAAGGATATGGTTTCGATGTTTCAGCTTCATTTCGATGAAAATATATTACCTAATATCTGCTTTCCGGAAGTATTATTAAGACAAATGCAAAGCACAAATTAGCTTGTTCAAATGTGTTGCTAAACAAAGCAAGTTGGTTTACATAGGTCAAGTTAATCACTACTGAGTACATGCACCGAATTCAGAGGACCAGTAAAACCTGTAGCAGTACACTTTTGTTTTAGTACTAAGCGTTGAGAAAGTGTAGAAGGCAGCGACACACTATGGATTGTGCGCAGCCCATAAACACTGGAGTACACTCATTAGGTTGTGGGAGTCGAAACATGCTAGCAACATTTGCATAAGTTGCAACTATTGTTTTCTCTTTTGTATAACCGAGGGCCAGGCACATCAATGCGTAGATCTGGTAGTTGATTGCTCCGCGTGTCTTTACGACAGTTAAGCACACTTGTGCTGTTCTGGTAAGTAGAATAGCCGATAAATTTGCATTCTTGGGACAGAGCCAGTACTCGCCACAGTAGACAGCTCCAGTTCCGGTCACCGGGTTCTGTGTGTTGTGGTGTTTCACCGGTAAACTGGTGCGCCGTAATAACACTCGAGTTTGGATAGACTGCATACTGAGTAGTGCCGGGTAGATTCACTGACCATAGTACGGTCAAATGGAAATGAAAAGATTCCTGGCATTGAAGAAATAGTCATTGACAAATGTTAATTACTTGTTCAAAACACTAAATAAAACCACATCAGAAGGCTCTCACCGAACAACGATTTAAGTGAACAAACAACTACAAACGAAATGTTTGCTACACTATTGGCACTTGGCCTAACGCTTTCTGCCGTTCACTGTGACGAGTTCAGTAAGCATTTTTAGAATTATCGTATCCATCTAATATTTTGATCCAGTTGGGAACAAGTGATCAGATAATTCCTTAAACTAGTTTCATAGCCAAATATGTATTGAATACTTGCTTTGCTTTATTAGGCATCACAATCAGGTTAAACTTTGATTTTCTTCCTAACGCTATAAAATGTTGTCTGCGGTTGCCACTTTATTTTCACTAATTTACCAGTAGACAACCACAATCAACGTTATCGTTACAAGGTTTTTTTCTCTGCGCAGTATCAAAGTCCTCTTGTTTATCTTCGTGGTATATACCCAAACACTGTTTAGTCAACTTTTGATGAAGATGTATAAATGATGTCTTAAGAATTTATCAGTTCAAGTTGGCCACAAATGCCCCAATTTCACGATGCGATGAGGCAGAAAGCGAAACGGTGACCCATAGAAACTGCAAAGTCTGGTGAAAGCTTTCGATCCGAAAACTGGCACCGAATGAATTAAACCATACCAGTGTGTTCATAATATAATAGTAATGCAGTGTAAATCTACAGTATCCATCGGACTTGCCACTGTGTTCTAGCTGACAGAGAACCGGAAATAAAATACAAAGAAAGCTGCTTCCCTATTCATTTAGAGCAAGGCGGTATCGAATAAAGGAAAACATTCGGAATGTAAAAGGTCGAAACTACGTATCCCATTAAGGTTAGAACTTTATTGACTAGCAGGCACATCTGTCACAACGCTGGGCAATGAAATCAGTGATAGGAGATTGGTTATCACAAGCAAATACTAAAAGAAGAATACTTCCACAGGTAGATGTAAGCGGAAATTTCGAAGGGCTCTCCTCTCTGTAGAGCTCTTTCATCACTTGGATCTGTTATTTTTACTGGAATTGTTCGGCTAGTTTACACCTTTCTCTACTGCACGGACTGCGCATTAGGCTTGACCATGTAGGCGATATTAAAAGTTTTGCCTATTCATTAAGGCTGTTTTCATGGAAGCTCTCAACAAGAAAAAATGTTACGCATGTGAATGCTCAATGTTCATTGTTTGCTCATTACAATCCTTCTATATAACTCTCTGTTCTGTGTCAATCTTCATGCTGGTTGCAAATTTCTCCTTGCCATCTAAGTGCATGATAATTTACGGTGCGGGAATATCCAGAAAAAGTGCTATGTGCCTGACAGGTTTGTGCATGGATGCAATGCTCTTAGCTGTCTAGATATCCCCCTTGTATTTGGAAGACGTAAAGCAGGATCCATCTCAAAGTGGAGACCAGTATGCTTAAGAGGAAAAGTACTTCTTCCTTCCTCTTTACTCATTAATGTATCCCGCTTTCTATATCTTGTCATACCAGTTACGAATTGTGGAAACAGAAATTTGTCTAAAACACACTCACATATGAATTTGGTTTATTATCTGAATTCCACAGCTGCTGAAGTGCGTCTTCACTCATCTTTGAAACAGACATACAGGATGAACAACTGTGATCTGGTAGGTCTCCTAACCGGGTTCTTGATCATATCCGTGTTTGTATGTTCAACAGGCAGATAACCTTACCTTCATCTCATTTCATCCTAGCTTATTGCACGGTCACCCGGACCATGGAACAATGGAAGTTTCCGAAATTGCCATGCCCGATCATCCATCAAAATAGAAGGAGGCTCCATCACGGCGTACACGATTACAGTAAACACGAAGAACTTCAAGAATTTCCCAACAAATGCAACGATTGACAAACAATTCTCATTCATAAACAAGAAACTCAATTTGAATGCACAAAGCTGTGCTACTGTGACAGGGCCGAACTGGGAGATGACTTTGCGCAGCTTTCGTAAGATATTATAGACTTCGCATACGCTACGTCCACCACTTTTGAGCCATTACTTCGTGTGCTTGCAGCGTTATTTTACGATAACTGTTCTATCTGAAAACCAGACACATATCAGCTAAAGGCTGCTAAACCGTAACTTCCAAAGCTTTTTGACTGCAAATCAGTTTGATATAGTTTTGTATTTTGACAAAGTTTTACCCTTAACACTGGTGTCAATTCAGGTCAGATGAACTAGTATAAACTTTTAAGACAAATTAGTATGACGCTAGGGAGATATATAACCCGGGTCAGTAGATAAATGTGATTACATTTTAACTATCTAATAGCTCGTTCTGGTGGTACAATTGGCGTGTATCTGTGTGATGCATCATACACCTATGAGACACTGTTGCTTTTGGCTCCAATGATGATAGTTCGACGTTTTCGCTCCAACCTGAGTCCGTCCGCCAAAGCTGCTCAGACTGGCCAAGTTAAGCCAGTCCGCCAAGTGTGTGCATTTCCACGCCGTCTATTTTGTTTACGTACGTAGTGGATTGGCTGTCTGGAGTTCATCGATAACTAATCTTTGGCTATTTGCTCTTATTCACTCCTAATGACCTCTCTATTGTTCCCGTCGATTGATTATTCCGAGACTAGCGTATTTAGAATCGACGCCGCATTTCTAAATTCTCAATAAATTGCAAAAGCATATAAATTAATTGTTAAAAAAGCTTGTCATGGTGGCATAAATGTACTCATAACTGAGCGAGATAGTTGTGTCTGCTTAGCTTGCACTTTTATTAGCTGAGTATACTGTGTAGTCAATAAGCGATTAAACATGTAACTGAATGGTATGTTACCAGTGCATCTAAAAAGAGGATGAAGCAAGTATGCTGACGATGTCGTTTTGGGATGTGATTCTGCAACCGTTGGGACAATTCCATTTTTCAAGGTGGTCTAGCTGAGTTTGGGCTTTAGTCATCGTCCCGATCAATGAGTTTGCGCTCCTCCAAAGGCTGTGACTTAACCTTTTCGTTTCTTCAAGCTGACAAGGTACGAGTGGTTTTGGACGCCACTTCTCCATTGGCATTGAATGTCCAGTTCATATGCAGATCGTCAAGTATTAACCATCTAGGGGGTCTTTTTATTCCAAAACTTATATCGGTCTATTCACATTGCCGAAAACGTTGTAAGGCCAGACACTCGACATTTTACGATTTCCAGTTAGAGTAGTTCAGCACCACTTGATTTGAATCTTAGTTTTGTGACGGCACGTATATTGCCGCATTGGCTTCACAGTTCGGTTGTAAGCATATTTGGGTTAAAAAAGGTAGACTACACATGGTCTGTACGGTCCATAAACATATTTCCAAATGCAGCGGATTGTCTAGAGAGTCCCTTGTCCATCTTATTGTTAACAAGCATCTGGACGCTTGTATCAGTTTTCCCCCAAAATTCAGAACAACCTAATTCGTCCACTACATTGTAAACTATCGAGAACACTATCTGCATCCTTTACATACTCCAAATCTAAGCTTCTGTTTTCTCGTTCCAGTGACCGTTTTGGCAGAGGCTGACTTCCAAGTCAACCGCCGCCACTAATGAGATTGCGTGTCGCAATCCAAGACACACGGCGGGTGCTCCAAAAAACCCGAAACTCTTCTGTTTTCTCGTTCTGTTATACCGTTCCTGTCCCGCTTGCATGTTGACACAAATAATATTAGCAGGATGCGGAATTATTTACTCGAGTGCCATGTATAAACATACGTTTTTGATCTTTTATATTTTTATTTAACAGTAATATCACATACTTCACCATCCGCAGTGTTTGCGTACCATGCTGAAAATCCACCTACCCGGGTGCATCAAGCCTATTTTGAATTGACCTGAGTTGAAGGAATATTTGCTATTTACTTTGTCTATGGACTTCGCGTTCGTGTAGTGCCTCCCAAGATGAAAGATATCGCAAGATACTCGATGTGTATAATTCACGCATTACATTTCGTAAATTTGTGCTAATGATGCTTTGTTGTCGTAGGTAAGTTAACTTTATATCTTTGATAAAATGTGCTTAATTCTAAGGTAATTTGTCCATCATTTGGTCTATTTCAAAAATGTGTGACTGATCATACCATTGTAGCGACCAGTTACCCAATGGAAATTCATCTCTACACGACTGCTCCTGACCAAGACGTAAATTGTACAACTGTGAGTATCTGTGGGTGCGATAATCTACATGCATTTTTGTATCTGAACAACTTCGCTGTTTGTTTTAGTGTGAATTAATACCCTGGAGTTTTTCCTTTTGTTGTCTCAAACAAGAAATTTGGGTGATTTTACAACCGCGATTGCCAACGGATACCTGTCGCTTACTAATCGAGTTCTATTATACTGAAGAAATCGAGTAAATAGAGAGTGTAATTTAGTTGTCGCAGCTTGTAAATTATCGTTCGCCAACTTACAGAATTGGTCCAGATGGATTAAAATGTCTTTGTTGGCAATTGACGCCTTATCACTATGAGATTCAGATGAAGTGGGTGTGTTTTTGGTCCATCGCATTTTAGAAATGCACATGGATTTTAGGATGCATAGCACAAACTATAATATATAGATTATAACAAAAGTTTACCATATAAAATTAAATCTAAACAAAATCATGGAATGCAGCAGTGAGCAACATACATCAGATATTATGCCGCAAAAAATGGAACATTATTGAAAACCGTGAAGTCACTGATGTCATACAATGTTGCCAGATGGATGTTTGACCACCGTAAGATCTCTTTTATTTCATTCCTACACGAGCAAACTGGTCCCGATGAGGGAAAAGATTATCTGAAATACGCTGGACGTGATAGAGCCATATCAGCTAGGGTGGTAAAACCGGCTTGTTGAATTGAATACACGCATTCCCCAGAACGCAACGATCGGTTTAACTGTCACAGATGCATTGTCGCCGCAACACACGAGCAATCCACCACAGGCACCTATTGTCAAATGCCGAGAGACGCCACATGTTTTCACCACATTAACCACAGAGACAAATGTCTTAAAGATTCTAAACGTATGTTATACCAAACATAATTTCATAGTAAAAATGGACTGAAATTCTTCATGGACATTTTCTGATTAGTCTTCATTCTTCAACGCAGGGTGCGCAGTTGACGGAGGAAGTTGATAAGGAGAATGCGAAAGAGCGTCAGTTAGGGGCTGTACAAGACTTAGCTAATGTCTGAGCCAGTGCTACTGTCTCGAATCAGAAGCGTGCACATATTCATGAAGCTAGACAAGATGCTGATGGTAGGTTTTGTGTCCATTGTGATGTAAATAACCGTTCTGAGTAGGGGAATGTTTTGACGAATTTTCTAGTGAAACTTGCAATAGTGATAAGATGATAACTCTGGACCCGCAAGTCGTTTTCACTCTTGTTCCAATGTTGTTGTTTCGTTGTAGTTATTGGTTATTACAGAGCAGTAACTTGTGTGTCTTACGGCGCGTGCGTAAAATCGAAACGGGTAAACTGGCGAAGAAAGAAAACTTCAGAATGATTAAGTAGCAATGCTTCGATCACAAACGAACAAATGTGTCAATGGAATGGAAACGAATCGGGCCTTTCCAATTGCCATGTGGTAGTTGAAGTTTCTGTACAAATATTGCGCAGAGACCAGAGTAATAGAGACAGTTATGTATCCAAATGAGTAGAGGTGTTAAATACTTAGGCGCAGTCACTACGGGAGGACAAAGGATTTATCTGTAGTAATGACATAGATATGCGCTGACTCCTTTCATACGTAAGCGTTTTTATCGATGGCTACAACTGGTATATTCTCGTGGGGTATGACATTAATTTGGGGATTAGATTGGTGATTTGCATGCGGATAACGAGTGATGAGAGCATCATATTTATTCCTCTTACCATCAAGTTTCAGCTGTATCTTGCATCACTGCTAGCCTGTATCAGGTAAACCAAGTGATAATGCTATGTTCGTGATTGCATGTAATGAAAATTGATGAGTTGCAGAAGGGCGTATATAAGAGCAATCGCTATATTTATACTGTTTTGATGAAATGTTTTCGATTAATATGAATATTGCTCAGCTATAGTTGTGAGTACACAAGAAGACAAGTAATTTAAAGCGGGACACCTCAGTTCAATTAACATTCATTTTCGTTGCAGACAGAGGATGTAACTTCTTGAAATCTGTAGGTTTAGATCAACTTAGACATAACGGTATTGGCTTAATGATACCATTTTATATTGTATTTGTTTGAGTGACAACGGTTTGGGTGATACAAAGACGTGTAATATCATCTACTGAAATGTATTCTCTACTGACATTAGGTGCAGGCGAAGAAAATTATTGAGGTCAACGTTTATACTAGCTAGATGCAGTGTTCCGTCCAAACGAATTAGTATTGACTTCTGTGTGAGCAAAATTAAGTTGCGTACTGGATTATAAAGTAGTCTTTGTTAATTGATTTCAATCTTAAACGTTTTCTGTGAACAGGTGATTAGCAATATACGAAAGACATCTCCGTTGCTAAGGCCAATCGATTGCAAACACCAAGCGACCCAGTCCGAAATCGCACAAAGCTACAACCACCGATTTGAAGTAAATATGCAAATGCCTGACACAAATGACAACCCTGTAACCGAGGTTGTTTTATTACAACTACTGTGGATACAAGGTGCGCTGGAATTCGAACGAAGCAATTGCACACAGAGAGGCTTCCCCGTGTATGATCCCGAAAGCGAAGTCTGGAGTAAGTACTAAATGTTTAGAGTGACAAAATTCACATTACAAACATATGCAGCTATTGAAGAAGTCATGGAGTTTGCATTTACAGGACATGGCTTGGAAGGTGTGGAGCTACTCCCAGGAGAACGACTTCTTGACTTGGAGTCTGCAGACAACATTGCCCTCATCTATGACAGCTCCCAGACGTGCCAAGCCGCGCTGGACAGAGTAGCACTGGCTGTCAGCCGCTTCGGGCTTTGCTTTGCACCATCAAAGAGCAAACCGTTCCACTAAGATTGGTAGGGATCGCCTCCTGCGCTGACCCTTGGTGGGGATCAGCTGGAAGTCGTTCAGAAATTCAATTACCTGGGAAGTTGTATCAGCGCCCTTGGGATCGAAGACGAGATCACGAACCGTATAGCGAAAGCTCGGAGTGCTTTTGATAAACTTCGCCACCTATGGCGGCGGCGCGACATCACTCTCGCCCTGAAGGGTAGAGTGTACAATGCAGCGGTACGTTCGACCTTACTGTACGGTTGCAAAACCTGGCCACTAAGGTCGGCAGACTTGAAGAGGCTAGCTACTTTCGACCATCGGTGCCTTCGCAATTTGGCTCAAATCTGGTAGGAACACCGCATGAGTAACGAGCGTGTTCGACGCATTGTTACGGCCCAGGAAAAGGTTCTGAACAGTTCAGCACCGTTATCTCCCGCACCATGCTCCGATTGCTCGGCCACATTTTTACGCATGCCAGCCCACCGACTCCCTAGACGTGCGTTGTTTGCGCGCCGGGGATATTGGTGGAAGAAGAGGAGAGGTGGCCAAGCAATGGCTTGGTCCAGAGGAATGAAATACATCACTTCGGAGCTGGCCTCGGTTGGAGCTTCAAGGCTCCCTGGTTAGGGTCCAAAAGACGGTGAACACGTTTGGCTGGATACACTTGCTGACATGGCGAGGAGCAGACGTCAGTGGTGTTCCTGCTGTGAGTTTCTTTGTCCCTCCTCATCCCTTTTAGTCTCCCCCTCTATTTAAGATCTCATTTCCTAGTGTAAAACATAATTTAAATTTTTTTTCCTTTTTGCCGAGTAGCTGGCTGGAAGCTTACCGGAACGATGCCTATCCGTTGCTGGTAGCTCAGGTGGCGTGCAACTGTTGTATCTTTTTTTCCTTTGTGTATTGTGTTATATGTATGTATGTATGTATTTCATGTATGCGGCACAATAGCGGAGGTGTTTTCCCATCTCTAGCTGATGTATATTATGATGAATGACATACATAGGTAGTCTACCAAAGTTTAGTGTTAACTGCAACTAATTTACATTGAATGTGATAGGTTAGTGCCGTTTTTATATAATTTGTTCGCAACACATCGTAAAGTGGACAATACATGTTCTGCCTGCACAATTTAGGAAACACCTATATAGACGCATAACTTAAAAAGCATTAGTGGTTCTTCAATATCTGTAAGAGACCGATCCAGGTTTGCAATTGTTAGTCATTCAAAACGCTATAGTCTTACAATAAATGGTATGATACATGAGCAATAAACTATACCATGCAGCACGCCGCAACTCATGCAAAGATCGATGAATCTTTAGAGGTGTTTAATTATCACTAAAGTACGATCCGCCCGCTTTCATTAAGTTGCATCATTTGCTTTTATCCACATACAATAGACTAAAATAAACCAACACAACTGTAAATCCAGGGCGCATTACGTTTTCCTTTAACAAGCATTTTCTCCAGTTTGTGCAATTCCACAATGATAAATATAAAAAAGATACCAACTTAATTCTAAAATATGTTTTTTCTTAAATTTGATAACATTAGTCGAAAATGTATCATTATCAACCTAGCTTTGTGTTTAAAACAGAAGGGAAACAAATCATTTTCATTTTTCATGGTGCTACATACAATAGCTTGCCTAGTAGGAGATGTGGTTTGTGCAGTATCATGCATATTTCAAGAAAAAGCACAACTTCACATGGGATATCTAGCACATAATGCCTACTGACTGAAATTTACCACAGCCTCCATCTAGGAAGAAACATAGGTGCCCAATCTGAATTGTTGTTTCCAATCGTGAGTGTGCCCATGTTTTAGAAGCCATCAAGATCATTACGCATGCTTCCCGTTCCTCAATTGTCAAACACGTGTCCGCAATCCAAAGTGTTTGTACCTTATATTGACTAGATTTCGTAATCTGGATCCACGAAAACCGCACGTCCACGATAAACTGTAATACAGTAAGTCTCGGATATTATTTGACCACCTCTTTAGATAGATTACGGCGTTAAAATGTGATCTTATGTTCTCTGGATAATTTACCGGCTATAAAAAGTTAGCCCGCCTGCATATGGAAATCAGTGATGCAATCCATAGAATGTGCTACACGTCGTATTATATACAAACCTGAATTCCTAATGTGACCCGTATTGTTCACACACAGCTGCAAAATGGGGATTATCATCTGTCACTTTTATGAAACAGCTGTCGAAATTGTGATATCACATACGGTTGAATGAACATGTGAAAGATTTTCAACAACACACTTGATGCTACTCGCCGTATTAAAGAATGGGCGGGTTCTTATGCTAATTAATCTTTAACACGGCTATGCCCTGTTGAAATGCATAAATTGACTTGTCTTTGGGTGAAATGTTATTACATTACTGATTTGATTTAAACTTTATCCATCTTTACAGATCCGTGAACACTCACCGTGTTCGCCTAAATCCTGTCGGCTGATGTCCTTTCCTGCCTACAAGGGATCTCATTTACTTTATGTACAATTCGAGGCTTCCATTTGTGGTCAACTGGATGCCTCCGCGGATGATAAAGAAGCGGCGCTTCTCTTCAATATATTCTGGGATTGGTTGTACACGCCGTGTCCATTCAACCCTTATAAAAAAACGAGGGATTCGTTTCACAGAGGTTAACAATCAAAATATATACGAGAGTCATGCGTATTCGGGATTTTGCGTGCAAAATCAGATGTCTTATTAGTGAAAATAATCCTGTGTAGATGCCACAGCATTTTTGACTTTATGGTTAACGTACTAAACCTAAAAGGCATCAACTGCCTTAAGTGCTTTCATTACTGGTCTGCTGCAGAATTTCAGATTTGGCTTAAGGTTTTGATGGCAATTTCTCCTACCACATACGCTTTTTCATTGGTGACCGATTCACGTGCGCGCTGAGATACGCCATCGTTCATTTAACATAATCATTGGTGAAAATTTTCGAGAGCATTATTGCTAGTTCTCCTTGAACATAAATCTCTCTGGTTACAGACTCGTATAGGACTCGTGTGCCTACTCGAATGTCACTACCGCATTTTAAAATTCAGCAGTTCCTTTGTGTTTATATATGGCTTGCCTAGGAAAATTTGAATATGCGCGTCAGTTGAGAATCCATTTGCTAGTAATAACGATGTAGGGTGCTTGGTGTGTCGATCTGTAGGCCAGAAATTTACTTACCCACATAGAAAGCCGATCAGCTTCTTGTGTTTCATATAGTTTATACGGGTGACATTCCCTTTAATTTGTAGAGGCAGAAGAAGCATATTACCGTGAGTACATTTTATATTTCGCAAATAACGGTTGCGGTGGCCTATATTATTCGGCCTTGAGAAAAAAAGAACTCTTTCAATTAAGCGCAAATACCAATGTTAAATTCACTTTAAACGTCGTCGTTGTGATTTATGAATATGTATTCCGATATTATGAATTTATTCACGAATATTTCTTAACCTGGCATGCCTGGATTAATGTTTGTTTAAATAGATCAGTTTTGAATCGAACGATAAGTAGCCTATCGAATGTGTGGGCGTTAGATTGGTGCAAATCCTAACACAGTCACAGACTTATTTTCAATTTTCCCATAGCTAGGCTGAATATACTCGAAAGGATTTTTCGAATATTTTCAGGCCAACTACTCACTATGTAAGTATAACTCCTATGTGAGTAAGTGCATTTGTGCAGATGGGTCCGCAATCTGCTTGTTATTGGCCAAAAGCATTACCAGTACCAAAACGTTAATCCGTTTTGCATGGTATGATCTCAATCCTACAATCCTCTATATATGTTAATATCCTCTTGCTTATTGTATTAAGTCCACTTAGGTGTACATGAATTTGCAATTTCTTCCATTACGAACATACGGTGCATGTTACGCTTGTGCGCTTTTTCCCGTCATATAACACCGTTCTAGTATTCTGTTGCTCCACTATGAAACGGATATTCTCGTAACCTGGCCAAATTATGCCCATAGCCGTTCTGCAACGGAAAGCTGGTATATTTCATAAGCACACATCCGAATACTGTGGCCTCAAATATCGGCACAGCATTTTCCATAATCTATCAAATCGAATAACCTGTGGCTTAAGTCGTTCTCACATGTATATGTGCAAAAGTGCGCCGTAGACACTGATGGCCACTTAGATGAACCATTATGGGGAGTGTGTTAAAACCGCGTGTGCCATATTAATCCAATTATGTTATATGTATGAATATAATAAGCATTGAAACTGACACCTATAATTGTATAGCTTAGAAATTGCTGGAATCTTGATTTGAGCTGTCTGAATGATACAAATTTTACCAATCCTTCAATTGTGACGTCGGGTCCCAATGGCCCAGTTACCTTAGTATAAAGGTTTGCGTTGACGAAATCGCTCACCTCTCTGACATTCTAGTCTCGCGACTACTGATGCTATCAATTTTATTGCTACACCAGTTTAGATGTGTTGATTATACGTTCGTCATATCTTTGTGTGAACTTGTGAAATTGTCTGCCGTAATGAGGTGTGAAATGAACAAGACAGACAATGTATTTTATCGATATAGTAGTGATGTAACTCAGCGTACACAGTAAATTTTGCAGGCCAAAATGTGTCAATGAAAATAATGAATTTAAAGCAATCAGTACACATTGGAACTAATATGGTGTTGAGTTAGCAGAAAGGCAATGCAGCCGAAGGATATTAGAGTTTGGGGCTTGTCATTTTAGTTGTGTGGCGAGCAC